GTGCATCGCTGCAGTTGGCCAAACAGTGCGGGCAAATCTCATTGCAAGTGTGGTGCCTGATACACCTGTATGCCTTTGTTTGGAAAATGTGATCCCCAGACAGACCAAGCGGCACTAGGTAGAAGGTTACACTCCCCACTGTCACACCCGTCCAGTATGCCCGGCGAAGGGATCGTGCCATCTCATCAAACAGCTTGTCCAGGATTTTGTTCCCCGCCTCATTCCCTTTGTTAAAGTGAGAATAAAGCTTGCAGGGGCACGTTGTCATGAGGAAGAGCCGGTCCCAAGAGCCACTGCCGATTGACAGCAACGGTCCCCAAGATAGCTGCAACACAGGTCGTCGTCGGTGTCCCACACCTTCATCCCCATGCAAAAGCACGGGGATGCAAACACTAAGTTCTCCAGCATGATCGTTGAAAACTGGGTGTGCCTCATTGACACTTTCATACTTGTGCCAGAAATCAAGAAAAGCCTTGCTCCAAGCATCCCTCTCAGTCAAATGGCTTCCGGCTAGAAGCTTCGGTGCCCATTGGCCAGACAGGATCACTTTCGCAAAATCAACGGCCTGCAGCATTGGATGCGGTTTCAAGACCTCTCTGCGAAGACGTCCCCTTCGGCGTAGCTTGTGTACCTTGATGGCCGTGGTGGGTGGGTTGTGGTTCTACACATTTAATTTACAGTTACCTGAAACCACTAGAACACAGAACTCTCTATAAAAAAAACATGCTTTTCAATGGTTACAACGAGTATCGTTTGGGATCCATTTAAGAGGCACAGACAGCATCAAGCCATGCTGTTGCAGCTTTCTCGTCATATCCCTCATGCCCTTGCGACTCCTATTGGTTGCACGAGCCAAGTCTTGTAGCTGTTCCTTGTCTCTCCGATGCGTATCCCAGGCAGCTAATTCCGACTGTGACTTTGCCAGTTTGGCCGCTCTTTTCCCGGAAGCTTCCTTGGCTCTGAAAAAATGTGTCAGGCATTCACAAGAATGGACGGACTTTGCAAACAAGGCTCAACATAAGCAGTCAGCACATTCTCCACATGTTGAGAATCACATTCTTTGACGTGACCTGCGTGGGGGGAGGGGGTGCAAAAATCACATGGTAGACACAATGACAAAGGCACATGCCGAGGTATCTTTTGGTCGTCTACAGCAAGGCATGCCGAGCGGGACAAAAGCAGGGCCATGAACACTGCATCTCCATTTCAGAAACACAAGCACTTGAGTGGCACTAGATACAGGATTATGCCTCTGCAGAAAACAACATACCAAACCGATGGAGGCATCAGTGGCCAAAGCTGCTGTAACACACTCCTCTAGCCAAGCTCACAGTCAGCTTGGTAGCAGATCCCAGCTGAGCCCCACGGGAAGAAACCCATCTAAAGTTTTGTTTTCCATGAGATCAGGAAGCCAGTGCCCGGGGGGCCAGCTCAAAACGGAAGCAGCCACATGTCTATGCACACATTCCCAGCTGTCTTCGCCCAAAACAGAATGAGTGCTTTCCTGGGCCCAGCGAAACTCACTTGGCTCCCTCCGAATCCGGAGGAGCCGGCGTTTTTTTTGGAGCGGCCTTGGTCTTCGCGGCCGTCTTGGCAAAGTGAGTCCTTGTGCTTGCACACCAAAATCAAAAAAATGCACCAAACAAATATGTAGAAACACATAGCAGCACAACCCAAGCCGAATGTTGTAACATCAGTTGCCCGACCAGGCTGCTTGATCTGTGCATGGTAGCTGGTGAACATAATACACCTGGTGCATCTGGGTTTGGGGAGGGCTGCTGCTGCACAACGAACAGAAAACATGCAGACAGATTTGCATTTATTGTAGCCGAAAAACTCCGAGCGGATCTTCTCCACCAGAGGTGCAAAACTCTGCTTCCTTAGTAAGAAATACAACTATCTGTTCGACAGCTTGTCCAGGCCCAAACATACAATCCTATATCGGATAACCCCCATACATATAACCTTTATGAAGCCCTCTGGCCTTCAAAACCCCAGACTACATGTACCTATTACATACATACATACATGTGTAAATGTGTGTGCGTGTGCCTCACATATATATATATATACATGTATATATATATATATACATATATATATATATTATATGTGAGGCACACACACACACACACACATTTACACATGTATGTATGTATGTATGTATACATATGTACTTCTGATGTATAATAGATACAACTACAGTAGGTATTATGCAACCGTTCGAGCGGGGGCAGTAACCAAGGGATTGCTGCCTGCGGAGTGATGGGGACGTTTAAGTTCCTTGTTACATATATGTTTATATATTACTTGCTATCTGGGGTCCAAGAAAGTAGCGCTAACACTGTCCTGATCGAGATGGGAAGCCGAAGAAACATGGCAAAGCTTAACAGGAAGCACTACTTTGTTTATATAGAGCGTACATTACTTTATAATTTCAGGTTACACATCTTTCAGGAGGATATACGACCTTGGAAGCTACGACGGGCATCCTCACAAGTCTAGCTTAGAGTGACAACTGTGGGGTTGTAGGGCAATGATAGTATATAAGGTACCCATTCTTTATAATCGAACAAGGAAACCGAACATCCCTAATACAACTAAAGTAGCAAACCTATAAATTGTCCCTACAAGCCATTGGACATCTGAATGCGGCGGCCGCCGCAGCGTGCTGGCCGAGGCCAGCTGGACGGCTTTCGGGTTTAGGTTGGTTTATAGGCACAAACGGGATACAGGGTAGTAGGGGAACACAGGCATGCTACGCTCACAATGTAGGCTAGAAGCACCCCACCCTCGGCACCAGCTTCGATCTTGGCCAGCTCGTTCAAGAGGCACCCGAGCTTGTCTTGGTTCCATGGGTGCTATCTTATACATCTTAAGGGGACATGCTTACCATTAGAGTGCGAGGCACCACCACTCGTGGACAAGACTTTGAGGTCTTCCCTGCAGCCGCAATTCAGTACACAGGGAAGCATTTTGCTCAGATTAGGTCCACACACTACAGTGCAAACTGTCGAGGCAAGGAGCTCGTGGCCCTTTGATCCCTCCTTCTCGAGCCGCTCACGAGCACCCTTCAGCAGAGCTTTGCGGGTAAGGACTGCACGTCGGTATTGTCCAAGGTATTCCTGAATAGATTCCTCGCCCTCCACCGTGGGGTACTCGGCCAAGCGCTTCTTGCCACCTGGCTGTGGCTTGGAGTTGTCTGTGGTGGTCTCCCCATCCAATTCCTCCATGATGTCTCCGAGCTCGAAGTCACTGGACAAGAGGCCCATTTGCGCCATCTCTTGCTGCAGCTCTTGCAGCTTCTCTTCTGCGGATTCAACATCATCCCGCACCAAAACAAGGTACTTGCGGATGTTGGGGTCATACAAGTCTTTCCTAGGATGACATGCAACTCGATCTAATGCAGCACACACACATATATTCACAAGCTGCTACAAGGACGGTCGTGTCACAACACGTCTCACCATGGCACTTAGTGAGCTTCTTCTTCTCACAGTGCTTGATGGCACCCTGAATCCTCGACCTTATGTTCTGCTCTTGTCGTGGTTACTATTAATGGTTAGCTCGAGCACTGTTGTATCCCAGACACTCCTCCCACTCGAGAGGCGGCTTCCGCATCTCGGCTTCGGTTTTCCAAGAGTAGCCTTGGAGGTTCTTTCGCCACTTCACGGTCTTGGTGCGGAAGGTGATGAGGCAGTTCAGCTTGGCCTGTTCTGATAGGGATAGCAAGGCACCCTGAACAAGTCCAGTAAGGACCCTACATAAACACCACGAACACAAATAGCACCTTTGATAGTCTTATGCGGGGCTCCCTCGGCTGCCTGTACATTCCACGGACCCTGGATTAATGGCTATATAGATTCATTATAGGGTGGCCCAAGAACCTTTAACACCAATCCTTGCAGGCGGCCTCAATCGGCCCTGTTGCTGTCGCTGCTGCATGTGCAGGTACACAGGTTTTTAGACAGGGTTAATAGACTTCAGAGCAGCAACTATAGAGGGTTCGTTTCAAGGTTTCAGAAGGGCTTTGTATGGAATGCAAGAAGGCATATATGGGTTTAGGGTTTATACTTCGTGTCGGTCGGGTTACAGTCGGGGTAAACCCGCAAAACCCCTAACCTTAGAATATCTATAGATTCACGACTGCTATCAGTAACCGAAACCCTGAACTTCCTTAAATCCTGAGCCTATTCTACTCCACCCGGGCAGCCTTGTGAGTAGTGGGATCCCCCCCTTGGACATAGCATCGACCAATGAAGTCCCGGAGCAGGTTCTGCCGTTGGAAGTCTCCTTGCATAGAGGGCTATCGCATTTAGCTCCATGCCCCAGTATCTCCCATGGTTTGATGTAGTATTGGTACAAGTTTCGGCTTTACAGTTCATGGGTTTGCAAAGCTTCGTCGGGGTTCGAAGCGAGGTTGTAGATAGGCTTGTGGGTGCTGGCACGAGCTTCGGACAAGGAGGGCTTTCTTCAGCATATGGTTCTGCCTAAAGTCGAGGCTTATTGATTTCCGGTACAATATGGCTTTGGTGTACTATTGGCTTGCAACAAACCGCGCTTGCAATTCGGATCGACCGGCTGGTTTGCTTAATTTATACGATGTATACCTAATAGGGTTAGCGATAATATCTAGGATTAATATACGGTCTATTAAGAACGGACGATAAATTCATATTGTCATATGTACAGATGTATGTACTTATTCTCTGCGTCTTGTTTATAAATGAGACTTCAAGAGTTGGTAACTCAGATCTGTATCTTGCTTTGGGATTTTACTTCGAGTGCGATGCCTCGAGGAATCGCAACGAAGTAAAATCCCAAAGCAAGATACAGAATGTATGTATGCATGTGTACTATGTATGTATGTTTCTGTGTATGTGTGTATGTATAGTATGTATGTATGTATGTCTGTATGTGAGTACATGTGTGTATGTATACATGTGTGTGTGTGTGTGCACGTACATATCATGGACCCGAAAATTAACTCCCCTCCCTCCCCCCCTACACACACACACACACCTTCACAACACAGGACTCCTGCATCCCACGCTTGTTTGATCTCTGCCAGGCAGTCTGGTGCCCGCGTGATTCGGTACAAAGCCCCCCAAGCGTTTGGATGGGTGGAGGAGTTGAAAGGTCCAGAACCAATCCCTTGCGGAGGGCCTGCGGGCTGCACAGCGAGCTGGGTCTGGGCAGGGGGTGGCAGCTGTTTGGCAACCGGAACGGCCAAAGCAAGCTGGGCTGCTGGGGCAGCTTGCGGGGTTGTTGCAACAGCAATGGCCTGGGACGGGTTTGGGGCCTGCAAAGCAGGCTGGGCTGACTGGGGCCCGGGTGTGTGGGCTTCCATCTTTGCCCGCAGCTTAGCTTTAGCATCATGAGCATCTGCGCGGTTTGCATCCGGCTTGGGAGCAGTGTCAGCCTTTGCAGGCTTGGGTGCTGTCTGCATAGATCGTACGGCCTCTGCTTGGGCAGAAGAGGCTTGCTCGATGAGCAAGCAAAGGTTGTGCTCGTGCTGCTCCCGCTCCTCCTGTAAGGTTGCCTCGTGCTCGGCCTGGCGCTGCATCATAAGCTGCTCCTGCCTCTCCTGCTCTGCCTGCAGTGCCGCCTCATGCTGCTTCCTGGCTTCGTCAAGGGCCTGCTGATGCTGCACTAGCTCCTGTTGCATTTGCCCTCGTAGCTTGCTCATCTGCTCGTTCATGTACTTCTCCAAGGCAGCCTGTTCTTGTTTCATCCTCTTGCTAAGCCCGACATCAAGAGCATCATCCTGGGGTGGGCGCTTCCTGGATTCCTCCTCCACAGCTTTTGCGTACTGCATGTTCGCACCGGGGAGAACCTGTGTCGTCTCGGATGTAGTGCTTCCACCGCAGCTCCCACTCGAAAATCCTTAACTGCTTTTAGCACAAGCACCACAATGGACATGCCGATCATACCGGAGCACAAGTTTATTGGATCAGCCGTAAAACCACGATGCAGCTGCCCCTTCGTGCGGAGGTACTCTTCCTTGAGAGCTTTGGAATCGGGCGTGTCACCCAAAGTCTTCCACAGCTCAGCCGTCTCGGGCGATAGACCCAAGAACCGATCGGGGTCATTGCTTTCACATGTCTCGTCCTGTTGGAATCAAACAAAGTTTTGAAGCGGAACACAACACACACACACACACATTGTGTCTGAATCCCCAGCACACTGCCTTGACCTTTGTGGGTGTGGCCATGGGATTCTGCTTCTCGAGGTAGTTCATCCCCCGGTACAGAGACTCGCAGGACATTCGATGCGACACCGTACCACAGCGAAAAAAAGCAGCCTAAGTTGAAACAACCTCCTGTAGAACCTGAGAACCCCTCTTCATATGACTAACATACCTATTCGTACTTTTACACACATATGGGTATGTCAGTGTACAGAAACAAATCTCATGCAGGTCCTTTGCTGCTGCTTCGAGCAAAGCAGCGGGATGAGGTCCAAGTCATAACAATAAAATCTTAGAAAGGCCGGGATTTGGTTTCGAGAAACCATAATGGGTTATCGCTTTTACAAGTCTTAAGTGGGATCATGTACATATATACATATTTGTTATGAACGTGTGTATATATATGCACATATCATACATACAGGGAAAGGATATATAGACACGTCATGTGTATAAGGGATCGATCGGGCAGCTGGTTGCTTCTCCGCATAGGACTTGACTAGCGGGGGCTACTTTAGCACTTCAAGGGTCTAGAAACCTTATATAGCTGGCCTTATAGATAAACACAACACATGCAGCTATGAGGCCACTCCATAACAGAAGCTGGTTGAGTACATCCACATACCGCCCGATGATGGGTTCTGGGACACACCCACAGAGTAGCCCTGCTTACATCATTTATAAGGTTCGAAGGGTTGTATGGGCCTAGGAGCAACGGGTCTTTAATTGGTTCCATGATCCACCTGTTCTTGCCGGGTACTCAAAACCCTGTAAATAACGATATATGAGATGTTCTCGGAGTACACCCTCCATTAGGGCTATAGGGTTTGGGGCATCGGTTTGCTACATCCGGAGAAGACTCAATGAATGGACAGAGCCCCTGAGACACTGGTGCGTTCACGGGGTGAGTGGATACGACCACGACAGTGTCCGACCGGACATGCGATCCACTCCACGACTGCACGAACGATGCAGGGTTGACATTGGATCTGCGGCAGCGAGCCACACGAACTCTATGACGGCTCAGCAGCATCTGCAGCAGGGTGCTGATTCTGCAGCGTCTGCAGCAGGAAACTGCACAGAGGGTCACGACTCTGCAGCGTCTGGCGCCGCAATATCGGGTGCCGCACTGACGGTATGTCGTGACGGACGACTGGACAATGACAGGATCTATTGGGGCCCCGACCCATTCCCGAAACAAGTAGAAGCAGTTCTTCCTATACTCGCACCCCAACATCCTAAAGTGCATTCCACAAGCCTCTCGTTTAGGGTTATATAGGACTTGATATAGGGCTGGGGTTTTCATCCCCACGACCCTAGAATCTGCACTTAAAACCGCACGTGTGCAAGACCCATAGAGCCATAGAGCCCTATAGAACCCCCAAGACCGAATGTAAATAGAACATCAGTCCCATGGGGGTTCTCCAATGTAATTAATTACATCGCGGGTTCTAATGATGGGTTTGATCTGGCCTGACTGCAGAAGTGTACGTATTACTTGCCAGTAATAATTCGAAGCGGTGCCACACTTTCGGGTTTTGCGCTTGCACTACCTTTGAGAAAAGCCTAGTAACTTATTGGGACATGGGCAGGGTCATGATTTCAGGTTCCATTTCGGACATTCGGGGAGTTCTTTGGGGGATGACTAAACTGACCTCTGCCTCATCTTGTCTGAATTATATAGACCTTAGCAAAGTAGGATTTGTGGGTTTAATGTCTCCAAACACCCCTCGTTGCACGACATGAGCTGCCGGATTTATACAAATGAGCCCTTAGAACACTTTATTCGTACCCCTGGTACAAATAAGCTTTCTTTACAACACTAATTATAAAGCCCTGTATAGCAAATCCTGGACCCTTGATAAGTGGCATCACATAGAAGGTACCATCACAGGGAATTGAACAGCAACTCACTATAATATCCACTACCGAACCCGATTCAAACACAGAGCAAAATCATGCTCTGCGCTTGCCAGGGTGGCGCTGCGGTGGCTTTATCGGAGCCGGTCAGAATTATCTGGATTTATGGGTTTATAAAGGGCAGTTTCTACAAGGGCTCCTTGCTCGGGTTCGGGTTTATGGTAATCGGTAGATCTGGCTTCTAGGGCTTCCTAGATACGATTCGGTAGCTTAGGGCTTTCCGGTGTGACTTCTCGGGCGAGTTCTACGGTTGATGATTTATAAATCCTGCATTACCTTAAGGACCCATAAACTATGGGAAGTATTGTATATTCCTTATTATGATTCATGCAGGATTTATATATATCATCAACCGTAGGACTCTCGAGGTTTAGGTCTTCCAGGGTTTTAAATTACTGTAGTTCCCACTAAACTCCCCACCTCAGTCCTATAAAGCTGGTCAACATCCCAAAGCAGGCTAGAGCTACACTAAATCCTGTAAAAAGTCCAGGAGGTCTTAAACCAGGGTATGTAAGGGGCTCCTACTGAGTCTGGGTAGGTATGACTAGTGAAACAGCTGGTGTTCCTTTGGTTGTCCCGAGCCAAGCAAGTGATACTATATAAAGTCCCGAACCCGTACCACCGACACTCCTATACTTGTCGCATCTAAAGGAATGATTCCAGAATCCTCTGAAACACCCCTCGACTAAGCAACCTTAAGGCTGTCACAGGGCTATAAGTCAATGGGTATGGTTGTACGTGTTCGATGATCTACTTACAGGACAACTTTTACAACCATCATAGATACCCCAGTACCCTCATTAGCCATATAAGATACTTCGTTGACTCATGTAGGTATATGTATATATGAGCATATATCCCATAGGGAAAACCTCAGTCCCTTCAGTGCAGGAAGAACACACGGGGAGGGCGGTAGCACCCGAGCTGGTAGGTGATGTCTTCGTAGGCAATGGATCTCCTGCAGCGATTGGGGTCAGTTGGTTTGTCCTGTATGACTATTGAAAAAGGGATCCCTTAGCAGGTATGGTGTTTATGATCAGCTAGACATATTAGACTACAGAAGCAATTCGGCTTAGGTCGTATTCTGGGTAAACCAAGAGGGTGGATTGCAAAAATTGGTAAAACCAGTTTCCTTAGGCCCGCTGCTGGGGCGTAGATTTTCTGTTGCGTTCTTGCGCGTTCTGTTGGCTCTTTTTGGTTTTCTGGTGGCGGTTTTTGGTTTTCTGTTGGGGTTCCGTTGCCTAGGTTTTTGAGCTCGGAGCACTGTTTTTGGTTTTTTCAGGTCCTTCAGGTTCGGGAGGGGCATTTTTTGTGTTTTTCAGGTTCCTTGTGTTGCTATTTGCTTATTGGGATTGGGTTTTTTTGGGTTATGGAAGCTTGAGCTTGGAGATTCCGGTGTTTGGGTGTCTTGTTGCTTGGCTCTCGGGTGGTTTGTGCCAGGGCTTCAAGGTTCTCAAGGTCTGGTTTTGGTGTTGCTCAGAACCACACAATATATATATATATATATATATGACATGTAGTGATCAAACCTCTGGACGTTTTGGCCGATTAGAGTAGCTACTGTTGTATACACACATCGAGTTGGCTGGGGTCTACTGGGCATATGATACCTATAAAGTTGTATGGCTGTTGGGGCCAGCCCGGTTCGGATAACACACGATACTCGAGTACAGCTGTCTCAGGGCACGTTATTGCTGTGCACCCGATGTAGGCTAATTACTATAAGTCCCCCGACCCTCCCACTATGTCTTCCTAGACGTCTGGGCAGAAATCTACCCCGGGTGTTCGTGCGAGCATGCATTCAAAGCCTTCACGGGGCCGTAAGGTAGTTGCAACTTTCTGGGGTTCGTGAAGAAAAGCTAACCTTCAAGAGAAGTACTACGAACGAGGCACAAAGCCCGCAGGAATTCCTCCTAGCCTGGATCTAGCCTTTTCTGCAGCCACACCCCTGCAACATCAAGCTCAGCAGACGAATTAGGGCCTCCTGCAGCAAGAACTACGGCTATGGCTAAAACCACAGCACGGCTATGGCTCCAACCACAGCACTGGCTCATGCGATGCCTAATGCACGCTTGAGCTCCTGAGGTAGATTCGTGCTTTTGCTTCGGAGTAAGTATACCACGACCTCATCCATCGCTGCATCCTCCATCCAGTACTTGGATGCGTGATCTTCATAGTACTTCAAGGCCCCGAGAAGCAGTTCCATTGAAGCATCAGGAGGAAGAGCCTCTCACCATTTTAAGTTTTAGGAGAAGGATCACAACACCTGACATACATAGTTATCTTGCAAAAGTTCACATGTACGTATGTATGCATGCCTGGGTGTGCGTATGTCTGTGAGTCTGCAAACATACATTTGTCGGAGGCTACACATGTATAGGTATTTATATGTATATATACAGATAGATATACATAGAAAGGCAGGTAGACGTATGTGTGCCTGCATGCATATATATATATATGTATGTATGTATATGTATACATCTATATGTATGCATATTCATATTGTCATATGTACAGATGTATGTACTTATTCTCTGCGTCCTGTTTATAAATGAGACTTCAAGAGTTGGTAACTCAGATCTGTATCTTGCTTTGGGATTTTACTTCGAGTGCGATTCCTCGAGGAATCGCACTCGAAGTAAAATCCCAAAGCAAGATACAGAATGTATGTATGCATGTTTACTATGTATGTATGTTTCTGTGTATGTGTGTATGTATGTATGCATGCATGTATGTATGTATGTATGTATATGTGTGTGTGCGGGTGTTTGCCAATGTGTCTCAATAAGAACCTGCTGTTGATACAGTTGGTGGTGGGTAGGGAAACTTAAGTGGTTTTGCCTAAGCACCCGCCTCTATATGATACACATGCACTATATGCACATAAATGTAAGTATGCAACATATATGTAGTTACATGTACATACACATGTCCGTGTGTGAAGCAACTCCTGCTTAAACTAGATCTACTAGTACCCAAACAGAAGCTAGAAGCCTGATTACAAACCCTAACAGTTATAAGGCTATGGCTCTTGGGGAGATGTAATCTTTTAATGGGTCTTATACAAGGTAGCCTTCGGCTGCCGCTGCGGCGCTAGCGACATCTCCGGCATCACCAAAGCCACTGTCTGGCCGAATTCAGGTGTGTAGGTCCTGTGCGGGAGTGTCTTTTCGTCATAGGGATCCTTAGGGGTCTAGGGGGGTAGGGGGCCTTGAGGCCCATAATAAGAACTAATAAGGCGTATTTAAGGAAATATAGTCCCCTACACCCCTCCCCCCTGCACCCCTAAGGATCCCTATGATTTCGGGTCCGGTGCCCCCATAAAGAACTACATAAACCATAAAAAAAATCTATCCCTCCCCCTCTCCCCCTAAGGCGGTCTGGGATGATTTGAGGCGTTTCTTGATGCCGGTGAAGCGTTCCTTGCCCAGTCTTGCATCCCAGTATCTCTTGCAAAGAGGCTCGGCACTTGCCCGCAATGCCTTAATTTTTTATGTCGTTAGCATCTACTCCAGAAACCCACGGAAGAATACAGCACAAACTTCTAAGCCCACGAAACCAGAAACAACCCTGTATTTGTATAGACTTATAAGGCAGCCCAATCGCAACATTGACCTATGTATGTATAAACCCCATCCCTCTGTGACAACATGAGGTTTATAGGGTTGTATAGGGTATATAAGTATATGTATATATACTATTAGGAAAGGGGGTTGTAGAGATTCCTACTTACCGGAAAGACATAATCGAAGCTCTTACTGCAAGAGAGACTAAGCAGCTCGGGTGATCGGTCCACGATCCAGGAGTTTGACTTCAGGGCTGTTGCTCCACAAGAAAGTCCTCTTGAGAGATTTGGCACCGTACTGTCTCATCCACACCGCCTGCCTGAAAACCATTGCAATATATTTGCAGAAATATCTCCAGAATGGGAGATGCCTAAACATTCCCCCAGCCGGCTGCTCAAGTACGAACCGATGTCCAAGAGCCGAGAGGACCCAGCACAAAAGCGTAGTCCTGCAGGGCCCAGCACAAGACAATGATTTCACCGGGCGGATGGTTTATAATTGCACTCATGCAGATTCCTGGCCTTATGGCCATGAGGTTCGACTCAGCTACATCCTCTCGTCTTGTGTCGCCAATTGGTAACACGAAACTCCGACCAGTATGATTCGCAACCAACGTCCCCATGGTGCTGCACACTGGGGCCAGGAAGACTAGGCTTGCTGGTTTAAGGCGAAGGATGGCCGACAAAGCCAGCCTGAGAAAGAATGGATGCAAATGGGTTAGACAGCAGGAAAGGTAGGGTGAAAAAACAGTCGAGAGGGAAACCGTACAGATAGAAGCTGAGATGCGAGAACCCACTTGCCGTGCGGAAGTCCATCCCGGAGCTTGGGTACTTCTGATCGAAGGAAGCCCCAGGCAGATTCATGTTCCGCAGGGCATTGGAAAGGTTTGCATCCCCAGCGAAGAACTCGGCGAAATTCCAAACCTGATGGAAGTTTTACTTTACACAACTCGCCAAACTACAGCACACCATGCTAGTTCATGCATGTCTGTTGCTCATGGGCCGACAGTAGCTCATGATGCTGTGTTGGTGCGGGGGGGGATGATCTCAAAACGAACCGTCTCCACATGTACAGTACTCCATGGGTTCTCCAGCCAGAAGGCACGTGTCCAGTCCATCTTCTCGTTGGCGAGGAGAAGCATCAGGCAAAGCACAACCACCTGGGAGCACAGTGGCTCACATGGTTTTACATGTGCACTGTAAGGAGAAGTTTTATGTGTTGAAACAATCATAAATGCCGTCTCTTTGGTTATACAGAATCGAAAGAAAGGGTTTCGAAACACATATTCCCGTGGGACAACAGGAGCACTAAGTACATCCGCATATGTTATATATATATATATATGTATACCTATAGATATACATATATATATATATATAACATATGCGGATGTACTTAGTGCTCCTGTTATATGCATGTAGACACACATCACAATTGTCGCTCTACTGTGCGACTGTATTTGTAAACCTGCATCTACATCTATAGTTGTGGGGCCTTACACGTTTGGGCAAAGACACCTTTGGCACACGACCAGCGTAAAGACACCGAACCAAGGATTGCGGCTCCCAAGCCGGGTGGACCGGAGCAGGCTCCATGGCAGCTGACAATTCAGACCGTCAGCTTAGTGGCAGCGCGGTTTTATGTTGATAGTAGATCGATCGATTGTGAGTCACGGTAGCACTGCATTACACTTTGCATTCAACTACTTCTGCACGACTATACTGGTATTCCTCCAGCAAATGCAGCAACCTGGTTATTCCTATCTCGAAGCCGAAAGCACACAAACTCAACAGCCACAGTCGGGTTTCTTACTATGCAGATACATTCAGAACCTGCACAGGAGTCGGGATAGCCGTGTGCTTATAAGCAAGCCTAGGGGGGCTATAGAATTGGTCTAGCATCCTGCAGGTGTAGGTAGCCATTCTCATTTCATATAGGGGCGGGGGCTTAAGGAAGGGCTACATTACACTAGCATCGGGTCTATAGATACCGTTCTCACAGTTGTGCCCCATGCATGCATCTTTGGCCGGAAGTGCCTGTGTGGGCGAAAGAACCGACTCTCATAATTGTGAATGCAACTCCGATAAGTTCCGGTACCCCAATTAGGACGAATCAGGATTCGACACTATACTCGCACAGGGTCAGATCTACAAACTTGAAGACATCAAGCATAGTCGATTCCAGAATGCCCGAAGGCGCCCGAAGCAGCAGTCCTCTGAGCTTCGAGTAAGCCTTGCGTAACCCCTTGGTGCTGAGCGGCATTCTGACCTCAGGTGGGCCACGGAAAACCATCATTGCGGCTTACGTTTGGGAGGCCGATGGGGCGCGGAGTCTTAGAAGGCTTTGTGGGTTTGTAGGGTTGTCCCGGCACAAATAGGACCTCTAGTAGATCGAGAGGAGAAGCTATGACTAGCAGAACAGCAGCAGCAGAAGCCAGCACCAGCAGCACAGCAGCAGCAGCAGGAGTAGTATTTGTACCAGTACTAGTACTAGTAGCAGTAGCAGCAGCAGTAGTAGTAGTCGTCGTAGTAGTAGAAGAAGAGCATAGTTGTTATAGCGGTCGTACTAGCAAGACGAGCGGTAGTAGTAGTAGTAGTAGTAGTAGTAGTAGTAGTAGTAGTAGTAGTAGTAGTAGTGGTAGTAGCAGCGGTAGTAGTAGCAGTAGTAGTAGTAGTAGTAGTAATAATATATATAATACATATAAGTAGAAGTTTAAGAACAGTGCAGCGGTGTCCATTTCCAGCACCACCTCGAGTACCACTAGGACTCGTCATACGACAAGAAGGACTACTACTGCTACAGCAAGAATAGCGTTCGACAAAGCTTTGTTCTTAAAGTACTTGGCTAAACAACTCACCTACAGAAGGCCTTATAAAGCTTCAGATGTATAGGCCCCCAGCTAGTCCCTAGGACTCCTAGCACCGACCGATATTGGGACCGCGGCGCTTGTGTGATCTGCTCTGCTACACAATCCTTGTGATCCTAATGGTCGTGGCACTCACAGCCACCACGGTCTATAAGGAATCATAAAAGTCAGGGCTTTCTGGATGCTCGGGTTTGATGGTCGAGGCTTATATTAGCTATGGGGTTTGCAAGGCCGGGAATATAGAAATTATGCAGAGGTTTAGGGGCATATATATATAGGGTTATATAAGGGTTTATAGAGGATTTAGCATAATATTCTCAAGCCACATCAAACTCCCAACTCAGCTCACCCTTCGAACCGGAAACGACTCTGTGCAGTTGACTACAGGCACACCAGTAAAACGACTGTACCCCAAAACACCATTCCCGAAACAGTTCGACAAAGTTCAAAGCAGCACTTTCGCATGCGATCACCTCGTAACGGTCGAATCCCCGACAAAGCACTGCTCAAGCACATCACGAAGTGACGTGTTCCACCCGAGGCCTTTCAAAGTAAGGCCAGCACTCGCACAAGCCCATCATGTGCATGGAAGTATCTTCAGCAACATAGCTAGGCTAGTAATTGTCACTTGGGCTGTAACAAGTGTGATCCCTGCCCAAAACCCATGAAGGGCTTTCAGCCTTCATTCTGACTGACTGTCAGGAGCCGGCGTCGCAGCTCCTTCACCTGGGATCAGAGTGGGCCCGGATGAAAAAAACTTCCGGCAACACTTGTTCTGACGACGGGTGCATATGTGGTTATAGCTAGGGCTTAGCGGGCCTAACCCGGTTCCTGTCAAGTATTAATAGGCTTGCAGGTACTTTGCATTGGTTTGTTTCCAGTCTATGATTCAATAGGGGTGGGTCCAAATTAATTAAGGTTATAGGGTAACCCCACACAAACACACATCAGGCTATCGTAGATAGCTTTGGATGCTGGATCCCAAGATCCCTGTGACATCCTGGCTCACAACCCTGAAAGGCTGGTAAATCCCAGAATGGGTTCGTAGGGTCCTGTATAGGAAGTAACATATACAGCTATGGCTCTTCAGGACTAAATGGATCTAGGGCTCTGCAGTAGTTTATAGTGGGGTGGATATTGTTAATGTTATATAGAGCCATTTCAAGTTATGGCTTGGTTTCCTTGTAAAGGGTGTATAGAACTTGCAAATTCAGAAACTTCTACACCCATGCACTCTATCCGCCCCGAAACCGCGGAACAGCCTTCTCACTTGAAACCTGTGCCCATGGCAGGGGTTGTAGGGTTCTAGGGTTGTTGTAGGGCTATCCTATGTATGTATGTGTACATATAAATATACATGGGTGGGTAACAGACTTAATGGGTGCCATTTCCAGCACGATAAGCACCCGGAAAGCCAACAGTTGTGCCCAAAAAAATCACATGATACCTGCATGGGTATTTCTATGACACATGAAAAGAACATGAAAGACACCCGTATGCATGATGTTGTGTAGTCTATAGATGTGCACGGACTACTCTACATCAACAGCCATACGAACAACACCATCAAGTCAGGCTGCCACATGATTGCAGTAGGCGATGTTCACGGCCATAGAAGCATACGTAACCACCAGGACGTGCTTTCCCAATGGTGTGTAGCGAATGCCACAGTGGGACCGAGTCCAATAGGGCTCGAGCTTGAAGTTGGCGCAATTGTCAAAGGTCCTAGGTCAAAGCCATATCAACTGAAAGCCTTGTGGAATATCGTGCTAAGTACACATGCATGCAAGAACCTTATACATGCGATAGCTGTGTGCAGCCGGCAATCTGCTTCAAAGGGCCTCGGCGCTCCACCGCGATGGGGAGTACATCTCGTGAGTTGTAGTCCGGACGCAGCTTGACCATATCAGCAGCCTGGGCCTTGAGTAGGGGCAACCCGTCCAACACGAGCTTCAATAGATCCTGCAGGGATGCACCATTCTCGCGATCAGCCGCCTCGCTGGCAGCCCCCGGCTTCGTCTTCGGCCGGGCCGCTTTCTTAGGCACCTCGCTAACAGCCTTGGCCTTGTTCTTGGGCTCCGCCGATTTCTTTGGCACCATAGTAGACACCTGCCCCTTCGCAGCTGGCCGCTTCATCACAGCCGGGCTACGGCTGCGGCTCAGGCTCTGCAAAGGCTTCTCCTCATCATCCTTGACGGCTCCACTGCGGCCGCGACCACGACCGCGACCGCGGCCTCCCCGACCGCGAGCACGGCCACGTCCACGTGGCTCTGGTGCCTCTGAATCCTCACCCTCAGCCTCGTCGTGGGGCTGATCCTCGCCATGCTTGCGCTTCCGCTGAGCTGCCACCTTTTGCTTCCGCAACATCCTCTGCTCAACCCTAGTAAAGCTATGAGGAACCTCCGGAATATCGGCTGCACAACCTGCTGCGTTCCCATCCGAAAGCTCTGGGAGGGGATCCTTCTCCGCGACCTTGACAGGCTCTGGGAGGGAGTTGGCCTCATTCATGGCGGTCTGGGAGGGGCCGGCATCCTGTTGGGAGTCCCTACGTGGCTTCTTAGACTTCTTCTGGGAGGCCACACAAGCATCTGGGGTGGAAGTCTTGTCGGAGGCCACACAAGCGTCTGGGGTGGAAGTCTTCTCGGAGACCACACAAGGCTCTGAAGCGGAAGGCTTCTGGGAGGGCACACGAAAGTCTAGTGCGGGATCCTTCTCACTCGGCTCTAGGGTTGAAACCTGCTGTGTGCCACAAGGCTTTGGGATGGAATCCGGATTTGAGGCTCGTGTGCCCGGCCCCATAATAGAACCCATCTTTGAACTTGCCAGCGGTCTTGCAATCACTTGCAACTCGTCACGGGTACCCGTTGCCGCCTCGACGGCAAACTTGGTTTCCAAGTTGCAGCGAAGCCCTTCCATGTCACTGGTCGAAGGCCTACGGAACAGCCTTCCCCGCTCAATGGTCTCCTCGATCACGATGGCTCCGGGCTTGGTGTCATGAGAGGGCTGCAACCTTTGGGACTTCAAATCGTCGAAACCGCACTCCAACCAACAAGTAAGCCCGAATATGTACGGAACCTATGAAACCTTGCATGCTGCACACCCTTCTATTCCATGCACGTATCGATATAACACATGTACGTTTTCAGGAGTATACTACACTACATATGAGTGTCGTGTATGCAACCACATACAACCTTCTAGTACGATATAGCACAAGAGCTTTCACAGACTCACAACCCGGCACCCATCTGCACATTGAGTTTGGCCCAGCCACACACCAGCAGAGGACCCACTCGCACCGGACTCAGAAGCAAGTGGAGCAGCACGATGCAAGCCATGGGCCAGGGACCTCTGGGAGCCAACGGAAAGTACCTGTCACAGGACTAATTTTCCTTTCTTTAAAACACATGTTGCAAACCTTACAAATTGAAAAACTTCTACTTTGCATGCATCACTCGCCTCGTACGATGGCAAAGACCTCAGCCTGTTCGCAGCTTGATCCAGGACATCCGGCGGCACCAGCTGCGTGTCCTCGCGCTTGAGCACCATCATGTTCTTGAGGGCTCGCAACCGCTCTTGCAGCTGCTCCTTTGCCAAATCCTCCCTGCTCTGAACCGCCTCGGGACTCGAGACAACCTCTGCCACCACAGCAGGTGACCGCTGAGAAGCCCACTCCAAAGGGTCCATAGCCACTGAAGCCTGCACGTCCAAGGGATTGCGGCCGATAGC